TGCAATCTGCAACTTCACCACTGGATGCCACTGAATCCTACACACTGGACCTTTAAAGTATAACTACTTAACCTCTATAATAGAAACACACAGGGAACTTTTAACTATTGAAGAAATGAAGAAAACAGAGTGCTGGAGAATATCTAAATAAAATAATACTTAAACAGAGACGTGTTTGCATTTCAGTCAAATCCATTTTAATCCACATTTTTGGTTTATGGATCTTTTTGTAATTTCACCCTTTTTAAAAACATGCTAAATAAACACTGATAAATTCACGTTTATTATAATTTATTTTTTAAATTATTTAAAGGAGCTGTCAATTCATTAAGTCTACATTGTCTCATATAAGTCTCATTGGTGTTCTATTAATGCTGACTGATGGCACCTCGATAGAAAGGTTTAAGTTACTTGTCGTTCTGTATGTTTTCTTTCTTCTTCTTCTCTTGACACTCCTGCCCAGTCCAGCCTGGGTAGCACAGACACATGAAGTGGTTGTGGAAAGATTTCCCACGGGAGGGGTCAGGGAGGAGATTGATTTCATTGGGGTCAGAGGTCATAACCGGAACCGAGGAGAGCATGTGGCCAGAGCTGGGGCGTTGCCTGGCGCAGCGGCCATTTCCGTGGCAAAGCTGGAGGCTGCAGCGTTGAGTGTCAGACCTCAGCGACTGGACGAAGGGACCCAAGACGGTGTGTATGTAGTCTCTGAGAAGGATGCACTGTTGCTGGAGGGGGGAGGAGGGGAGAGGGTTACACACCAACACACACGCACATAAATGACTCTCTCACAAACATTACGTACCTTGGATTTGGCAAATTTCAGCTCTCCCCACAGCACCACTCCAGCAGCTCCCAGCGCCACACTCTCCCCCAGTGTGTGCACCAGGTCTGTCTGCACACAAACACTCAAATGGTTATTTTGAATTACATATTTGTCTGTGCTTAATGGCTAATAAACTGGCATGTGTTAGCATGAGTGTGTATGCTTTAGTGAGCTGCAACGAATCCCACCTTATTAAGAAAGGTTAGAGAGTGTGTGAATGCTAGTCTGGCGTAGGGAAGGACAGGTGTGGCATGATTGGTATTGTGCCAAACTGATGCCACTCTCAAAGCCTCCAGCAGCCTGTGTCTGAGCAAAGGAGACAGAAATGTCCATCAGTAACACCTTTAACATCCTGTGTGTCCAGCATGTAGTTCAACTGTGGATAAGTTTAATAGAGGTTTGGTGGGCTGTTTTTACAACTGAAGCAGTTTAACGTGGATGGTGTTTCTCTGTACCTGACCATCAGAGCTGCATCCATGGATCCTGCCAGCCTCTGTGGCAGGTAGACACTGGGATAGAGCGCGGTGGACTGCCACCAGAGCCAGGACAGCCGGTCATTTTGCTTTTTGGTCCCCCTGTGGCAGCGTCCTGTGTAGCTTTTGTCTGATCACACACGTGAAACAAGATAAGACCAAATCTGTACAAATACCTTTCTTAAAAGGTCAAAACTTTAAGAGATCACAATACAAACTGCTCAACACACAGTTAGTGTTTGCCCTACCTGTTTTTCTCTTATGCTTATTAAAGCAGGCAGGAAAACCATAAAACCCCCAGAGTCCCCTGGGATGATCTCTGACTGCCGACCGCAGCGTCTCTTCCATGAACTTCCGAGCGCTCTCCTCAAACTTTTGCCTTGCCAACGCTGTCATGGCCTCGTTTGACAAATCCGGTCTCGCCTGTTTCACCAGCAGCTTGGACAGCCTCCGGTACTCCATCTTGGTTCCAAAGTTTCTCTCCCACAATGGCCGCCACTCTTCCCAGTCAATAACGGCTAAACCGGTGAAGTTTGGCTGCAGCACGCTGGACATCTGCGTCAGCGCCAGGGAAAGGTGAGCTGAGAGGTCACCAAGCTGCGGTAACCCTCCGTTCATCTTCCCGCCATCTCGGGAGAGGTATGGATATTTCCCCAAGCGGTCACGGTAGAAGATGGTCATTTTCTAGAAAAACATTTGCCCATAGAGGATTATTACCAAATTTTGCCCCCTTGTTGTTACAGTTTTATGGCTGCTATGGTCAGAGCATCCTCACCAACTTTGTTTCTAACAGGCAACTTTATTCAGCAAACAAGATCTGATGAACCCACTGATGAGACCTGCCCACCATCAAACAGAGATGCACGTAGCAGAAGAGCTAGCGGCTAAAAAGACAGATATTTTACTAAGGGGTTGGTGGAAACCAAACTGAAAGTAAAAGGTGATTGAATAATGTAACATGGATGGAGATGGTCACCACTGTCACTCTTCCTCTGGCTCAAATCAATGAAAGCAGCTTTATACTGAAGGGATGCTGGGACAAATGGAAAATGGACAGTTTCTCAAATAAATCTGTAATAGGTAATACATCTGAATACATTTTAAATACAGAGAATTGCATAATCCATCTCTCCAAAATATACTTTATAAATAATATAATATATATAAGATTTATTTTATGATGATTTTTTATGTGGATTACTTTATTAGGTTTATTGAATTTGCATAAGTTAATTAATGGTAACTACATATATAAACATATTTGTATTCTGTTCTGTAGATGAGGAACTACATAAGGTGCAGGTTACCTGTAATGCTACTGATGGTTAAGATTGGCGGAGCGATATGAAGTAGTGTTCAGTTGTCCTACTCGATCGAGTAACCGAGAAGAAGTTGTCCCCATGCTCTTGTTTTACCCACGACCCAAAGGTAATTTTAATACAGTAACTATTAAGTTTATAGTTAACGCTCATAGTAATCAGCATTACAAGTATATTGTTAAATATATAATACACTTTTAAATGTGTTTTCTCAGTTAAAATAAAGTTCTGTATTAAATAAATAATGTGGCCAATTTATACACATTACATTAATTTAAAAATCCTTGGTGATGGTGAAATAAATAAATGTTAAATATATTTTCATATCACACTGTGCTCAGTAAAGTATTCCATTCCATTGGTGTCACTGTACTTCACTGACTGAGATCAATCACCTGTCCCTGGAAGCGCTGCTTTTGGTTCTCCACAATATCGAAGTCTCCCAGGTTCAGGTGGATGTTGTAGCGTTTCTGACACCGTGCCGTGGGCATGTTCCACACCACAACGAAGGGCCGGTCCTGCAGGATCGGACCTGCTGCAGCCACAGCAGGCAGGGGGCTGTGGGAGAGGGCAACTCCATGGGTGGAAGTTTGGAGGGTGAGGAGGAAGAGGAGGAAGAGGAGGAAGGGGGGAAGGAGGTGAGGCAGCACCATGGCTGCTCACCCACTGATGTGTCCTTCCTGACAGGAGAGAGAAATAGGCCGGTGAGATTTATTGATGAGGAACTTTCCTGCATTGGGATAGAGACTGGTGTCACACAATTAAAATAGCCATTAATTGGTTCCTTGCACTCTCAGATAATTCAAACAAAATGTCAGCTTATATTTGATCGTTGTGGTAATATATTATGGTAAAATAAACACAAGTCAAAAGAATATTCCATTCAATTCTCTTTATTTACATAATTCTTCATAACCGAAGTATCAGATTGACAAGATACATCATTTCCATCAATATAACAAACCTTTAGAACTTAAATAAAGTTTCACTTCTCTGGCAGATCAACAAGGCACACTCAACTGTAACATTACAGCCTCACATAATGTAATAGCAGCAGATATAGATTGGGTTGTGGGAATATTTCTGAGGTGCAGAGGTACTCGAAGTAATTTAACTGGTTGAGTTGTTTGGATGAGTCCAAATTATATTTACTAAGCTTTTTCAGTCAAACACCATCCTTGTCACAATCTCCTTAAATATCCCCTTCAGACAGACATGTACTTTAAATAATAATTTGTCATTTGTTTGAGTTTTCAATCTAAAAATTCTTGAAATTACATCTAGTCCTTCTCACTCAGATTTAAGGTGTGCAGCAGATCAATGTCTGTCATTCTCCAAGTGCCAAACATCATTCTGCACAGTGAAGCTCAGACATTAAACTAAAGTAACACTGAGCAAAACATATGTGTAAACGGAGGGGGACAATTCACAAATGAATACAAGATACAAGCCTTTACAGACTGGGCTTGAGAGACACTACAAAGTGTGTGACTGTGTAAATGCAGGAGTGTTTCCTCTATTTCTTTGGTTTATTAAAACATTTATGTCTCTCTCTGAAGCTTTCCACACTCCTACATTACTCGTTTTCTGTGAGTCTGAAGGACCATCAATGGTGTGTGCTTTAGTACATACGTTTCTTTCTTTTGATGTCTGAACACATAAACATACGTATCTGCATTAATGTGGGCAAATGAACCCCATCTGTATCTGACTGGGCGTTCGTCAAATGTCTTTGTGCATCCAATAGATGGGAACTCCTTTGGCGTCTCTGTAGGGAGTTTCGGTCAGAGTCTGAACTACAAGCTGCCCTGTAGACTGAGGGGGAGGAGGTGCTGGAGGAGGGAGTGAAGGAGAAGGAGGAGGGAAGGACGGAGGAGGAGGTGGTGGAGGAGGGACTGAAGAAGAAGGAGGAGGGATGGAAGGAGGGGGAGGAGGTGGTGGAAGAGTGGAAGGAGGAGGAGGTGGTGGAGGAGGGACTGAAGGAGGATGGGGAGGTGGAGGTGAACCTAAAGCACCTCCTGAGTGTCTGCTCCCTTCTGGTACTTGAGCCTCCATCTTTGTCCGTGTTTCTTTCTGCGCGCTCGCCTCTTCACTCGGCATTCTGGAGAACCTCAGAAGCATCTCCATGGGAACAAACGCCGCCATGGCGCCTGCGTTCTGCACCGGCGTCGACAGCACATAGCCGATGTGGGCGTAGAAGTGCTGCTTATCGTGGGTGGTCAGGCACAGGCGCTTGAACCCTCTGCTTTTGGCGTAGCGCTCAATCTCCTCCATCAGAGTCCGGCCGTAGCCCTTCCCTCGCTCCGCCTTGGACACGACCACCGACTCGACGAACAGGCTGCTGCTGTGACCCACGACCCGGGACAGTCTTGCGTGGCCGAGCAGCTGCTCTGTCTGTCTGTGGCCGAGCAGGAGAACCAGACAGATGGGGAACTCTGGACAGGACTTCTGGAGGGAGTGAACCCGGGCGGCCTGGCTCCTCTGCCACTCAGAGTTGACCAGGTCGGCGCAGGGAACCAGCAGGTCCGGACGCCGGTGGATCGGGACTGCGTGGATCTTGTTTGGTTTTTCAGAGTCGGTCTGAAGCTTTTCTTTAACATTGCCACATTGCCTCTCACTGTCTGACGTTGAGGCGGGGTGCAGATCAATGTTCAGCTCATCTCCGCTCTCCGGTTTGGAATTGGTTGAGGTTAATGGTTCGGACCTGTGGTGATCAGGGTTTAACTAAAGTCAGTCTTCACTCATCTCCTACCGCTGAATGTAAAATGTTAGAAAATGTTTTCAACATGCGGTTCCTCAATTTCGTCGTTAGCCTGCTCACATCACAGTCTGAATTACACAACAGGAAGTCTGATTGGACAAAGATGCACTCTAAGAGATGAGATCACTTCTGTAACAAATCTCTAAGAAGGACCAGACTTTCATCACCTGGAAAGCAGCACATTTGGATCAGATGTGTAAGTCCTAAGTTGGGTACAGCTATAAAAGGAAACATGCAGGAGGATAAGGATAGAGCGCTGATCTCTCTCTAATCTGTCTGTACTCCCTGTTTGCACTGCAACCTTTACTGCCTGCCTCTCTTGTTTCTGTAACAGTGATCAGTTGTGTGCCTGGCTCACTTTATTAGTGGATACAGAGGAAGGGGTCAGTGTTCAGCAGTGAGTCAGTCATTAGCAAAAACTGAGAGGCTAGAACTACAGAATGGTTGGGCTTTTTCCCCCTTTAAAAGATGACTTGAATAATTAATCAAATACCTGTTAAGTAGAAATAATGAAATAATAAAGTTCTTTGAGCGAACAAACATTAAACTGAGCTTAAACTGAGAAAGCTGAGCCTAGTAGAAGTTAAGCCAAGTCAAACTTTTAATTCTTTGCAGCTCTTGGTAAAGACCTACGCAAACATGCTTCAATACTTTCATCCCTAATGACTGACAGCCCGACGAGGCTGCTAGCACGGCCGAGCGTCTGCACGTACGACCTTGCACTGATACGTCTGTCTGCGTGTTGGTTCACCAACGCCCTACCAAGCTTTAGACCAGCTTCCAAATAAAAAGTCACACCTCTCATCTTAACAGAAAAACGCTCTCACACAGCGTGCTTTAGCGGAGTGTGCATATGTTCAAACTCTGCCTCAGCAGAATGAATTCACTGACTTCTGCTCATGAGTTGGCGCAGATAGGGTGTCACCAGGTACTGTTTGTGGAGAGTTTTTAATCGCCCCTAAAGAAGTATGAAATATATGAACATATAGTCATCAATCGCTTCCTTCATACTGTGACTGGTTCCACAGCTCCAGCTTTCTGTCCCCGGTGTAACTGCAACAGGAGAAGGTGCCTCATTTAGTAATAAAAACTCTACGTTTCTGTATTTTTCCCTTTAATTCTGAAAGCAACTGGAATAAACTTAGATGGAAAGCTGGGGTCTAATAAGAAGAAAAGGATGAAAATGAAACCTTTCTAACACATCCGTGGTAGGTATAAAATACCTGAGTTGTCAGAATGCTGTTCAGCTGATGTCTCCGATGGATCTTTGTGTGCATTTATTGTAGAGTCATATAATGTAACATGTAACGAATGGGGAAGTAGGCCTTTATCTAACACATCTTACCACAGTTTGTTGAGAAGGCTGATATGCAAAACAGTGAAGATACTTATTCCGCTCAGTTAAGTACAACGGTTTCTGATGCATTTGTCTTCAAATTATTCAGGCTAAAGTGAGTTTAAGCCTTCTGTTCATATCTATTTGCATGATTTCAGTACATAAAAATGTTCCCCGAAAGTGTAAACTCTAAAGGATTAATACTGCAGCTTTATATTCTCATATCTTGTTATTAGACCATGGTGCCAATTACCAAAGTTAGTCATTTCATTTGTAGAACAAAATGAGAAAACACATGGTAGGAGACAGTTATGTGACACCTAAAGTCATGCATCGATTAGGTGTCAATGACTGTTTACGAGCACAGTTAATGCTTTTTTTCTCAACCTCTATTAGAACGTAAAATCCTCTTACAGAGGCAGAAGCACGGGTTGAATTCATCTTAAAGTTGTGAAGAAGCACTAAGGAGTTTGTCTATTTTGTCTATTTCTACACCATCTGTATAAGAAAAAAACAGAAACAACGCAAGTCTAAAATGTTTTTAAAAGCTGCCGTGGTCCACAAACAAACAAACACCAAACCCTGACCAACAAATAAAAAACACTAACTCACCGAGAGAGAGATTCTGAAGCTGAACGGCTGTCAAACGACTATGAACTTGGTACTGCCTACTCAATGCAATTTCACATTCAGACAAAAAAAGGGATGTTACAAAGATGCAACAGGAAACTGGCTGTTGACTGATAATAACACGTAAGATAAAAAGAAAGTGACTGTTCATGACTGTCATTTTGAGATAATGACACTAACATACTGACTGCATCAACATTAAAAGCAGGAAATTAACGTATTTTTCTCTTCTATATGGTGTTCAGAGTGATCTTAGGGAAAACTGTAACAATAATAAGGGATCTGCATTATTTTTTACCAAGAGCGGCATCATTTAATGACACTTGATAATGACATGGGCCTTTTTCACAGCAGATATTCAGACTTATCACAGTTGGAAAAGCACCAGTGTTTCTAATAACATTAACAATAGCTCTGTTGTGTTGGAGAGTCCCAGTAAGCCTGCAGCTAAATGGAATTCAGCCATCATTAATGTTATTATTTCCACTTGAACGTTTCCCATTGTGTCACACTAAAGAAGGACCTTTTGAACTTCTGCTCTACGAACGGGCTCTTGAGCAAGGCACAGACTGTGAGGCCAGCAACCAAACACTGTCATTTCATCATTACAACGTTTAGTGAAAATGTTCAGTTCAATGAACATGTGACAAAGACTAACTGCTGAGTTTGAAAGCAGTGATACATGTGGATGTGAATGAGCTGATCCATTGTGTAGTGCTCAGTAGGATGTGTATTTAAAGTCAACCAGGACATCAGAGGAGCCCCTGTTCTCAGAAGGAAAGATAAAGTGGGTAACTCAGGAGATTGGGCCCTATCACACCACACTCATCAGACTGTTACAGTTTCCCTTAAGGCATGTTTATTATGTTTATTTTTCACAAGAGTAGGAAGCCCCACATTAAAGCAGGGCATCAAAAAATTAGTTATACTCTTATTGATCCTCTCCACGGAAATCTTTAGTAAAAGGCGAAAGATTTATTCGATCTGAAGAGAAACAAGAGTGTACTGTCTGTGAGAGGGGAGAGAGCCGGAGCCCATTCTCCGTCCTACCTCCCTCTGTTACGGTGCACAAATACACGTTTACAAGTACACACCAATTAATATAATTACACGGCGCCAATCATAAACAGAAAGTCTTTACATTGTCTACTAGTCGCACTGCAACTTTTTGAGCGCAATAAAAGAATAAATACTTTAATGTTCAGTAATCGCTGCATGCACGCAATGCATCATGGGGCCTTGGCCACGCCTCTACTTCTTGAACACGGTTTCTGCTGTTAAAAAATGCTATTTTCTCTTCGATACAACTTCTGATGGCTGTGTGACGTTTGGGTGTATCAACTGTGTTCTTTGTTTTCGTAAGACTTAATTATAACGCTGCTTTCTCCACGTAAGTTACGTGCTCAAACTGTAACGTAAGGCGGCGGTTAACGCTACAAAGAGAAAATGCACCAAGAGAGTTCTCGCCTTCCGTTCCCGCCTTAGCGAAAACTTTATTTTATGTATGTATGTAATGTATCTTTACATTAAATATCAACTTGTTTCTTTTATTTGGAACAATTGTTCGCTTTTCTTTTCACACACTGACAGCAAATACCTGAATTTAAACGAGGGAAAATCTGGTTTGTAGTCGCACATGCGTAGCAGTAGTACGACAAAGGCGGAAGTTACTTCCTGGTTAACAAGCTGCAATAGTACGTTATTTAACTTGTTTCCATACACTTGTTGGGTATGACAACATAAATATAACGGGGCTATAGTCCATCTCAAACACATCTGTGTGGTATTATCATGTTGGCTATTATGTGTGTGTAAAATATTTCTAATGAATGGAGATCAGTAATGCTCTTGATCCATACAATCTTTGCAACCGCTGCAGTACTGTAACGTTACTATCACGTTAGGTTACTGTTAGCATGGACACTATATAAATGTAATGTATATGTATAATGCATATATACGACTGTATGTAGCGTTACATGGACAGTAAATAACCTTTATAAGAAGCTACCAGGTGGTATATTCTCTATAGTTTGTTACTCGTATGTACATTGATAGTCTAACGCCTGACAAGAGGGCTGTGTCTAAAGGATTAACCAGAGTGTAAACCATTAGCCCTCCTCTGCTCTCTTCATCAACTTCCATGTAAGGTCAGACTACAAAGTGACAGTTGGAGGCGGTCCTGTTTGCTAGCTAGCTCATTTGGTTACTTTCAGCTTTAGCCAAACATGCAGTGACATTTGTTAAACAATAAGAAAATAAACTAAAGTTTACTGTTCATCAGCGAACCAAAACCCGACATTGTTGGTCGTTTCTCACCACACTGTAACGTTACCTACATTTTTTTTTAGTCTCGCGGTTCGTCGCCGGTGCTCGTCGTCCTCAGAGCTCATGTGTTTGACACAGCTGATCTGGGACCGGCTTCAACTCTTGTAACGAAGGACAACAGCTGATAATCGTCAATGATATCTGACCCAAGATCAGTTTCAAACCTGAATACTGCCTCCTCTGTAAAGGGAGGGGATGTTGCCGTTGATCCCCTCACTGGTCTAAGCGGCCATGTCTGCCGCCCTGCGGATGGGAGTGTTATTACACTACAATTCATTCTATGTATTATATTAAAGTTGGATGTATTTTTTTAATGTATGGAAGTGTCATATATTTAGAAAACATGCTAATCTTCAGACATCTGTTGGAGCTGAAACCTACTGTTCAGTTGTTATTTAACTGTGACTCAGCTGTGTAGCTTTATAACAGTAACCTACAGTAATAGAACTGCTGCTCTGGTACCTGCATGGGTACGTGTAAACAAAGGAAACCGTATTAACAAAACACTGCGGTTGTCTTATTTAGGCCCTCACCAACACTGACTGCAACACACTTATCAGGATATTCGCTTTATAGCAAACAGCAAACTGGAGTACAATCACCACCTCCAAAGTACTGAACAAGTACTGAATATAAAGTGCTTAACAGTTTGTATTTACTGCAGGGCTGTTGTACTGCAGGGTAAGGTGCTTTGTCCACCACCTGCACAAGCAGAAAGTGCGTGGCTGAAAATCAAACTGTTTTATCCCACATTGACACACATGACACTGGCATTGTTAGCAGAGTTTGAGTAGAAAATCGACAAAGAGGCAAGGTTTTTTTTAACAAAATGTTTGCTTTATTTTTTCTGTTTTTTTATCCAGGACAACTCATTCAAGGATAATCAAGGAGAAATAAGCACTACTGTTTTTATTAGAATTTTTTTTTCAGTTTTTACATTTTGTCAGAGATGGATGGTGAATTTTATCAGAATTGGTCAAAGTAAAACAAAAAATAATAAATGAATATATAATAACAATACATTAATAATTAATTCAATACAATGAAGTGTGGCGTCAATGATAGAATAACAATGACCTAGAAAACATAGGGTTGTTATTGTTTTCACTGCTTCTTCTGTGGTACTGCAATAATCACCAGCACTAACTCAACTCAATCAACAACAGTAGAGGAAGAAATGGAGCGCACCCCACAAAGTTCTGCACCCCGGCCTCCCAAAGAGGAAACACTTTTTTTTATTTAAATAATATTTTATCAAAGCTTCTGTTTGTATCGTCATAAAATGTTTCTAAAACGTATCTGTCTTCTTTAAACTTTCTCTCTTTTTTTGCATTTTTGATTCATTTTCCTTTTCAGAGATTTTTCATTAGTTTTTCGTCTCCGTTTTACCACGGTGTGTCCGTTTTTGCAAGTGTGGTAACCTATGTGTTTTTGATTATCTGTATCCATGTGTGTGTGTGTGTGTGTGTGTGTGTGTGTGAGAGAGAGAGACGTTGAAAATGGTGATGATGACGTCGATGACGCTGATTGGTTCACCCAGTTAACTTCAGCTACGCCTCCGGGCAAGCTGCTGTTAGCATTTACTAGCGTGTTGTTTTCTTTAAACACACAAACAAGCGATGTCACTTCGTATCCGGAACAAACGACAATAATGTGGCGCTGCAAATAACCAGCGACGTTTCCTCCAACAGCAAACAGCTCGACACACCGACATTTAAAAAGGTAAAGTAAATAAAATAGCGTCGGCCAGCTAGCGGTGTTAGCCGGGTGGCTAACGCAGAGATTGGGTAAACACGAGAGAAATGTTTCCTGTTCCCACAAACATAATAATAATAACTTAATGTGACTAATAATGTGTTCAAAGACAACAGGTTAGTGCTATAAAACGGGCTGCGCTGGTTGAATCAGTGCTCCGTGCATTGGGGAAGCTCATATCTGGATAGCATCAGGTGGAAGCTGACTTTAATTTTAATATTTAAAA